GAGAGTAGTATCAAAACAGAGAGATAAAAAGAGGATGACATCGGGTCAATTGACCTATCGTTTTCATCGATTTAGAATGGAGACCGTGTACAAGATGACAGGGCGTTGAATGCCCTTCTTCTTCCTCTTCCCAATAAAATGACTGGAAATGGATGCGTACAATAAGTGAAGGATCACATATGAGTGGGAAGCATTAAGGTAGGTGAAAAGGCTCAGTAGTGAAGAGATATATTCTAACAGTCGTTTCTACCTAACAGTTTACGTCATAAAATTCTATCTTACCATCCAGTCATTGCGACTTCAATACCGACACATTTCATTATACACGTTTTAATTCCTTAAATAAGTATTACGCGTGCTATGTTATTTCTATTGTATATAAACCAATGTATTTAAAGTACAAAATATTAATAAAAATACACAAACCACAAAATGTTAAAAAAATTGTGTGTATAATACAGTTACAAATATTGTGAGCAAGGGGAGGCTTATCTCTGAAAAAGATCTCTTCCAGCCAACTCAATAGAGTGAAAGCATGTAGTTAGCGGGCAGCAAAAGTGTATAATTAATTAAATGTTTGAATTAATTATACCCATACCAGTAACAGTTACATGCGTTGATAAATTGATCTTGTGATAATTATATTTGATTAGATAACCAGATGAACTTTGTATTATTTACAACGCCATCTATTAAAAGTAATCCGAAGTAGCGATTCCAATATAAAATTATCTATTTCAAATTTTCCAATTTTTCAGGTTTACTAGGCAATTATAAAGTTACTAGGGTATTTCCAAAGATTTTTTATTCTTTTAAACCACTCCTGTATTATAGCTAACAAAACAAAAAATATATTTATGCAACTTAGAATAGCTAACAAGCTGACGGCCCACCTAATGGAAAGTGATAACCGTCGCGTATAGACATGAGCAGTACTATGGCCATAACAGAGTACACTTTCGCCCATGATACCGCCCATGCGTTGCCATTCCTGAGGACTCAGGTGTTATTCCTATATACCCTGTAAATTCACTGCCTTATCCCACCCTTAAAACCGAATCACAGTCATGCAAACACAACTGCTTCCCAGTAGAAACACGAATGGGACAGAGGTGTCCAAGCAAACGACAAATTGGACAAGCCAAGACAAGATAATTTATATATATAAATAGTAAACATCTTATCCGCTAATAGCGTATCCTTTGTACCACACAACAGACCTATCACGATCACGCACAAGGTAAACATGACACAACCTTTCCCCTTTAATAGTCGGTTGCAAATGACGTCATTTTCAATCAAAGTGATATAGTACTTTTGTATTGACAAGTGGCGTCCACGCAATGGTAAAGAGGGAAGGGATTGTCAGTGGAGGCTAGTAGCCCTATTGCTAACAATATATCCTGTCTGGTCGACCTTCACGCGGTCCTTCTTAATATCTTAGTTAATTATTCATGATTTTTTTTAACACAAGGAGCAGACGTTCATGCGTCCCATCTGATGATAAGTGACTACTGTCGCCCATGAGCATCCGCTGCAGGCCTTATAAAAAGGAATATGCTCTCTTCTTAAAGGTTACAATGTAGTCCTAGTCCTCAGGAATGGCAACGCATGGGGGGTATCATGGGCAAAACAGTATACTCTGTTATGTCCATGGTACTGCTCATGTCTATAGGCGACGATTATCAGTTTCCATCAGGTGGACCGTCAGCTTGTTTGCCATTCTAAGTTGTATAAAAAAAATAGTATCGATTCGGAAGTACACCTGTTAGAAGTTGATACCAAAATGTGGATGGAAGAAAATGCCTTAAAAAAAATGGAAAATGGACCACCACTCGTCTAGATGGTTGGATTGGATTTGCCATGATAAACCAATAAAATTGGCTTCATCTTCATTTATCACCCCTCAGTGGAACCCCGCCAGTGTGCTGACTGCGCAGGTAGGATTTATCCACATTATAAGTGTGCATATATATATATATATATATATATATATATATATATATATATATATATATATATATATATATATATATACATACATATATATGTATATGTTGCAGTCAAAACTCTTAACCAATCAAAAGTACTATTAACTAACAAAATCAGTCGAAAGTACTTATGACCGTATGCTTTAGTCAGTAATACTTTTGACTAAAATAACAGTTAAAAGTACCTAACCTAATCTAACCTAAACGCAAATTAGCAGACAAAAGTACTAAAATAACCAATAATTTTCAGTCAAAACCATTTTTGACGAAACTGTAAAATATCAACATATTCCACTCATGCGGATGAAGTCGCGGATAAAAACTAGTATAACTATGTTTACTTACATTACATAAAGTTGTGAATTACGTTGATACTTCACTTTACGATCATAATATCCCACACCGCTGTATGTCAAACATAAATTATGACTTTATTTATTATTGGGTACTCCCCGGCGACTTTCATCTACCGTATAGAATTACTTTTACATACATGGTGTAAAGAACAGGTTGGCAAAAACTGTAACAGTTAATTCTGAACATTATTCGGAAGACTTTGTACAAAAGTCGATTGCTTGGGTACCTCTGTCCCATTCGTGTTTCAACCGTGAAGCAGTTGTGTTCGCATGGCTGTGTTTCGGTTTGAAGGGTGGGATATGGCGTGAATTTACATGACACAGAGGAATAACATCCCAGTTCTCGGAAATGGCAACGCATAGGGGGTATCATAGGCGAAACAGTATATTCTGTTATGTCCATGGTACTACTCATGTCTATAGGCAACGGTTACCACTTTTCATCAGGTAGGCCGTAAGCTTGTTTGGCATTCTAAGTTGCAGAAAAAAATTATTATAAATAGTAACCTTATTTATACTATATCAAATAGTACGTATATACCAAATTTCACGACTATTAGCCGAGCCGTCGAATGAGACAGTCGTAGTCTCACTACAACCAACTCTTATGGGAAGTCCCGTGTCCAGTAGTGGGACATTAGTGGGCTGCTAAAGCAATATATATAACCTACTCCACATAAACGTATTACCACATAAATGGCACGGTGCCTGGGAAAGTACTCGTCAGCGCAAACAAAATGTTGTCAACGCGGCATCAGTACTGAATTATTCAGGTGCGTTTAATTTATGAACACCCAGCAAAAGCTCAAGTGTTTATTTTGAAATCGATAGATATTTTGCGAAGAGCCCATTCTAAATGTATTAGTATAATCCTTTGAATTTACAGGGTACAGAGGAATAACACCTGAGTCCTCAGGAATGGCAACGTATAGGGGGTATCATGAGCGAAACAGTACACTCTGTTATGTCCATGGTACTGCTCATGTCTATAGGCGACGGTTACCACTTTTCTTAAGGTAGGCCGTCAGCTTGTTTGCCATTCTAAATTGTATAAAAAAAAAAAAACAAAAATTGAAATAAATGGGGTTAAACCCGAGTATTATGCAGAATAGAATAGACCATCTCTTCCTTTCCTGTGGATCTCAGAGGCGATTAAGGGTAATTAATCGTGTCGAGGAATGGGCAGCAGCGTTCCACTTAAAACAGCACCAAAGGCTGCAGTTGTGGAACAGATTTTTAACATATTCGTTATTGGATCAGTTTTTTTTTAATGGGTGATAATGGAATGGCGACCTCACCCGCGCCAACGGTATACACCGGCGGGGCACCAGTAAAGGATGATAGGTGAGGATGAAGCAGGTTAGTTAGCCCATCGTGACGAATTCAATAAGAATTGTTCACGATGGTTTCCAGGGGAAACCACGTGGAGGTCGACCTAATAGGGCAAATTGCCAACAATGGGGCTGTCAAACTCCATTGCTAACAATCCCTTTCCCCCCGTTATTGGACCAGTATATTGATATTGTAACTATAATATATAGATATTGCTATATATTATCCATCACTAGCTCTATAGAAAGATCTTTTAAAGTAAGGATAGCAATGAAAAAAGATTTTCCACCATATCGAACAATGCTAGATGAGCCCCCGGCCATTGGGAGCAGCCCAAATTTCGTGAGCTCGGCTATCCCTCTAAATTCTCCATCGTACCTACCAATCGCGAAATGTAATGATGCTAGCATTTATACGGTTATACTTCTGTATATCTATATTAATATTATAAATAAGAAAGATTTTCGGTTTTAAAAAGATATCTACTCTTTTTTTACAATAAAGTGTCAATTAATTAATATCACATAATAAATACAAATGTATTTATACATTTTGAAAAGTTCGATTGTAAAAAATATATAATTTTAATTACAAATGAATTCCTATCTATTTTTTAATGTATGAAAAATACAAATTCAATTTCTAATTCCTTTTTGAAATCAACTCAAAAAAAACCTTAAAATATTTTATAATTTAGTTTTAGCGCCATCTATACAATTTTCTTTACATTGCATAAACACAGACAGACTGTTACAACTTGCAGAACTCTAGCGACTACTTTACATAAGCAGTTCGAGTAATAATTCCTAGATGGCGCTACAATAAAAATTTTAAAAATAATCAAAAATGTAATGAAATAGATACCATATAAATATTTTAATTTAATTGTAAAAATATTGTATTTGTAAGTACTGAACTTATATAAATATAGGTATCCAGACCTAAGTTACAAGTTACATATCAGGAATTTCAAGTACTTTTTACACTTATAAATAAAATTCGTAATATAACTACTCTATGCAAGCATTTACGTTTTTAAATTGAGGCTAGTATAATTTCACTCAACGCGTATTTTGACTCTCAACGTTTCATATTCAAATTAGATTGAAAATATTTGAATTTCGAACACTATTAAATTATCTCCGCGAAAATGAGTTGTTTTTCTATATAAAAACACTACAGCTTCAGTTGTCATAAAATAAGAACGATTTCAATTCGATAGTAATAAGAGTACATATCTAAAAATTTGAAAATCGCTCAAAAAATAAATTACAAGAATTGAAATTCCTCAGTTAATTATAACAAAAAAAAAATTACTTACCCGAAATAACGGCATTTGCTTCATTTTGGGCGTTATTATGTTTGTTTTCTGTCGTGTCCTTATTTTGTTCTTTCTCATCTTTGTTCGTTTTCGCTTCAGAACTAGTGTTGCAGCCCATTTTATTGCACTTACGTGTACACTAATCGTACACTAGTGTAAACAGCGCAGTGACACTACACTTGAGTTGGTATATTAATAAAAATTGTACACTATAACATAATTGATGACATCGATGGATCTATTATCTGAAACAAAAGAGAATCAATTATGAAGCAATTATATGAATTTGAAAATAATTTGTAACTGATGAAAATGGAATGGAAATTTAGATACATAATGACACCATCATTATGACGTCATCGACTATACTAACATTAATATTGCAAAGATTATTAATATTGAAAATTATTTGATTGTTTATTTGTAATGGATAAACTAACAATAATTAAAAATTGTGTCCCACAAAAAAAGTCGACTTCAATTATGGAAAAGCCAGTAATTTTACCTAAAAACTGAACTACTAAACCGATTTTGATAAAACTTCTATGGGACTAATTTACAAATTATTATAGGATATTTTTTCAGATAAAAAAGGAATTTTCCAAATCGGTGTATAAATGACGATTAGAAGCAGTTGTATTTGCATGGCTGTGTTTCGGTTTGAAGGGTGGGATGTGGCAGTGAATTTACAGGGTACAGAGGAATAACACCTAAGTTCAAGAAATGGCAATGCATGGGAGTTATCATGGACGAAACAATATACTCTGTTATGTCCATAGTACTGCTTATGTCTATAGGCAACAGTTACCATTTTCCATCAGGTGGGTGGTCAGTTTTTTTGCCATTCCAAGTTGCATAAAAAAACCTTTGTGAAACTACAAGAAAACTATAGATTTTATTACAGATTAGGTTTTAGCATATATAAAATGATTTTAGTTCAATATCACAATTTTTTTAAATAACGTAAATGTTGAAAATTGTTTGTTTCTTGGAAAAAAAATGAAAAATAATTGAGAATTTTGTTTGAAAATTGCTACACTTCGGTATGAATGAACGCTCTTAAGGATCATTTACGATAAAAGGTTTGTTTGTTTGTACTCTACAGAGTTCATAAGAAAAGAATGAGTACAATAGCGGTCTTATCCCGTAAAGGGATTCCTTCCACTCGACCTTTCAATACCTCTCAAGAGACATTATGGGGCTTAGGTGCCTATAATGTGTTACAACAGAACTTAATAAAAATGTAAACAAATAAATAATTATTGTATTCGTATTATGATTTACGTATGTTTCTTTTTTTTAACACGAGTGTTTTTTTTTATTACTTATACTTATTGCGCCGAATAGCTACCGCCTTATTATTTTTTCTCTAATCCAAAGCTTGTCGGAAAGAGATTGCTTTAGCGATAAGACCGCATTTTATACTTCTATATATGGATAGATAGATAGTTTTGTACATATATATATACATTTGTTTTTGTACTGTTTTACATTATAATTCATATATTACAAATCTATATGTATTCTCCGTGTAGTCCCGGAATAGAATAGGCCACCCCTCTCTTACCCGTGGATGTCGTAAGAGGCGATTAAGGGAGGGCAAGGGATGGGCAGCAGCGTCCTTCTAAAAACATGTCCAAAGCCTAACTGCAGTTGCCAATCTGCTTGTTAAAAGCAGCAACTCAAAAATGAGAAATGATACAAAATGTAACCTTGTCACTAAGCAATCTCTTCCTGACAACCTTTGGGTAGAGGACATTGGGAAAAAGAACAAAGGGTTGGTGGCGCTCTTCAAAGGAAGGGGAAGAGGGAGACCAAGGCATAGTTACATCAGAGAGATCAAGGAAGGAGTTGATGTCGTGTCGTATTAAGAGGTGGAGAGACTCGCTGAAAATCGTAGTGAGTTGCAAGAGCTCTACCGACAAGAGCGCAGCTCTTAAATAGGATAGATAGATACATAATATATACACATTTTACATTTTATACCAAGGTTTTCTCATCCCGCCATGAAGCAGGGCGTTTTCCGCACGTCGCTCGCTTCTATCGATCAAACGTTGTAATCTAACTAAATCTAACCGTAATGAGAAAGGTTAAGTCTGGATTACGTTTCGGTTGTCTGTTACTTTATTTTAAGAATAGGCTAGCTTTTTGCCCATTACTTCGTGCGCGTGGATTTCAGACCCAAAAAAAAAAGAAAATCAATTTAATAGATCATTTCTATACAACATATTTAGATAAAACATATACCAAATTTTAAGTGATAGCGATCTGGAGAGACAAAGGCGTAACATTGCATGTAGAAGCAATATGCTGGCTAGACGATTTAACCACTGTTCGAAGCTAGTCAAATTGACATTGTTTAAGTCTTATTGTCAGGCTTTCTACACCAGCCAGTTATGGTATAGTTATACGAAAAGGGCTTATAACACACTGCGTGTGCAATACAATAACGCATTCCGAGCGATGCTCAACTTGCCATGGCGGTGTAGTGCGTCTGGCATGTTTGCAGAGAACAGGGTTAATGATTTTTTTGCTATTTTACGTAATTATAAGGCAAAATTTCATGACAGATTAATGACAACAAGTAATAATATTGTAAAGACTGTATTTCTCACAGCATACCTGACGACAAGAGATTTTATAACGAAATAATTTAAATTGATATTTTATAATTTTTTTTTTTTTTTTTTTTTATTTTATTAAAGTTAACAAACAGTAATACAATATATAATTATAATAAGATTACATTTAAATGTGATTAATAGTACTACCAACAACGTTAACTACAGATTGCTATATAAAGAAAGAAAGTATATAAACATGCAAATATTGCCGAGAAGTGGAGCTGACCATTATATCTATTAATTAAGTTAAATTATAAATAACATTGACACAACTACATCACCGGTACAAATTATGCAAAACAACCAACAAAAAAAAAAAAAAAAAAGTTATTTAACTATACACATGTATTTTATAATTTATTAATTATGTGCACGCATTACTAAATTCCTGAGAGAGGGAGGAGGTTACTAATTGTTTAGCTACCATTTTTTTGAAAGTTAATGGTTTAGTAGCAAATATATCAATATTATAAAATTTGTCATTATATAATTTCAAAATTCTATTTATGGGTGAACGAATACCGGAATTGGTACGGTATCTGTTAATTGCAAACAATTCTTGTCTTCGTGAATTTCTCATTTGTGCACGCACTGGAACTTTATAATTTATCTGATTTGTTAATGAAATACAGTCATATTTACCCTGAATAATATCATACAGAATCATAATCTCTAGTTGTATGCGCCTTGATTTTAAGTCTTGCAAATTATATTTATACAATAATTGGTCATATGAACGACGGTTATGAGAAAATTTATATTGTAAACGTCGCAAAAATTTTTTCTGTACCATTTCAATTTTATCACAGTAAAACTTATAAATAGGATTCCATATAGTTACAGCATATTCCAATTGAGATCGAATAAGGTTTTTATATAAATATAAATAAGTAGTGAGTTTCTTAAAGTTATTCGTACATCTCATTACAAAACCATACATTCTGTATGCCTTAGCAACAATATTATCAATATGTGTATCAAGCACAAGTCTAGTATCCAATGTAAGACCTAAATCTTTAATTGTTTGTACATTATCAAGGACACAATTGCATAATGTATATGAAAAATTACTAATATTTCGTTTCCTTGTGAAGGTTATAGTTTTGCATTTATGCAAACTGAGAGTTAATTTATTAATTTTACAGTATGCAGTGAAACGGTTTAAATCTTCTTGAAAAAGTATATGATCGTTAGGAGTGTCGATTATATGATAAATTTTAAGATCGTCTGCATATAATAAAATTTTACAAAAATTAAAACATGTGTAAATATCATTTATAAATATAATAAATAGTAGGGGCCCTAGAATTGATCCTTGCGGCACTCCTGAACTTATAGATACATTATTAGATTCGTAACCATTAATAATAACTTTCTGGGTTCTGTTTGTGATATATGATTTAAACCATCGCCAAAGATTGCCTCGTATACCGTTATACGCAATTTTTTCTAAAAGACGTTTATGATCTATTGTATCAAAAGCTTTCCGGAAATCTGTATATACACTGTCTGTCTGTTTGTTTTTGTCTAGTGTGTCAAATAGATAACTCGTATATAATAGTAAGTTTGTACTTGTAGAACGACGTTCTACAAAACCATGTTGCTGAGGAATAATATTATTATGTATGATCGGATAGATAATATTATGAACTAGTCTCTCAAGAAGTTTTGATAGAGCCGGCAAGATTGAAATTGGGCGATAATTTTCAATATTTCTTTTACAACCACCCTTATGAATTGGCACTACACGTGCTGACTTCCAAATAGTTGGGCATACACCTTCGTGTAGACATTTATTAAATAGATAATGTAAGGGCTTGCATATAGTACTAGCAGTAAATTTTAAAAAAATTGCTGGAATATTATCAGTGCCAGTACCCTTCGATGCATCAAGCAATTTAAGTTCTTTGGAAATCTGTCCATATGTAAATGTTATATTGTGTATTAATGTATCATTACTATAATTAGATTCGAAATTAACATTGTCCATATTAAAATCTTCTGTAACAGATGAAGGTTCAAAGACGGAATGAAAAAAATCTGAAAATAAGCTACATACTTCATGTGGCTCATCAGTTACTTTATTTTTATAGTAAACCGAGTTAGGAATGTCATCAATATTTTTATGATTAGAAACAAATGACCAAAAAAATTTTATATTATCCTTAATACTACTTTCTACCCTACAAATATACTCTCTATGACATTTTTGTGATTCCTTTTTAAAACGTTCTCTATATAAAGAAAAAATTTCATAGTCTGACCTATTTCCATACTTCTTCCATCTAATCCACGCCTGATTTTTATTTTTGAAAATATGTATTAAAGAAGATGTAAACCAAGGCGGAAAGCGAGACGATTTTGTGAATTTAACTGGAACATGTTTTTTTATTAACCCATAAATAACTTCATAAAAACTATTAACGGCAGATTCAGCCGATTTATCTTTAAATAAATCATCCCAATCTACTTTAGACAATTCTTCATTTATTAATGAATAATTAGCGCCTTTAAAGAAATAATAAGTTTTAATTTTAGAAGGTATACACTTTAAATTAAAGTTGACAGGGACAAGAAAGTAAAGAGGTGGATGGTATTCGTCTACCGGAATAAGAGAGACT